TAAAAATAACTTTTATTTTTGTATGAAAATCACTTTTGAACTTTTTGTGTCTTTTAATTTGCAATTTATTATTTCTCAAGTTTTTTTTTTATAAAAATAACTTTCTATAAGTAAAATGTAAAATCAAGCACGTAAAATTCTAAATTATCGAATTTAAAGCTCAAGAACAAAACAGAAAAATTAAAAGAAAAATTGTTGTTGCTATGATTAAAAAGAGGTTTAAACTTTTCGTTTTTTGAATATTTTGCTTTATTCGACCACATTAATCACCAGGACCACGTGCCTTATATTAAAATTAAATTTTATAATTCTTTTTTTTAAAGAAAAAGATACAAAAAACGCAAATCATCGAAAAAAAATTGTACATTATTTAAAAAGCTTATAAAACTTGATTTAAAGCAAACAAAAAAATTGTTGTCCTTTAAACTAATTTTAGTTGAAATGTAGTAGAATTATGCTATGACAGCATGTTTTTATACATATGTAATTCAAATATTGATTTTTTTTTTAATTTTCTAAAATTAGACTTTTATTTTCTGTTATAATATCTTGGATCAGATATAATTCATAGTAATATAAATTTAATTTAAATTTTGAATGCTTCGTAAAAATTAATTTCGTAGAATAGATTAAAAACTTTAATTATACTTTAGAATTTAGATCATAATTCCTAGCATTATATAGACTATAAAAATACGTGTAGGTATGTACATACGATTTAATATTTAAAGCTGACATTGTCCACATATATTGCCCCACCATCCACGATTAACTAATAATGTAAAATATGACACATTATGTAATGAAAGCTGTTTTTCAACACAATCCGTAAATATTCCAGGAATATTTAATTAAAACCATTTCTTTATATTCAAATTGCAGTAATTTCAATGCATATGTGTAAAATTGCTCTTTACAGAGCACTGCTTACCTTAAATTAAGTATTAGTTGTTAAAGTGACTTACATAGCCTAATTCAGCTCGTAGAAACTTTGTTTAAATAACATACGTTTCGATTTTGAAATTCCCCATGTAGGTGGGTATATTTTTTTTATACAAAAGTTCGTTACAGAAGCTATTGTATCTAAAATCAGAAATAACAAACGTATATATGTACTTAAAAAGAGCCAATTTCACCTACAATGAATTTTATCACTTGAAAATTTTCAAATGTAGATTAAAATATAAGAATATAAAATATCATGTTATGTCCAATATGTCTATAATTGGCCAGACACACTCATTTACTTTCTCTTTTATTATTCTACTTATTTTATCATTAATTTTCTCAAGTACACCTACATACATATATTTAAGATATCAGCTCAATGCCTTTAGATTATTTAAAAAGTAAATTTACGAATTCATAAAAAAGGACATTTTTTTTTTCAATTGTTTTACCTCACATTTTACCTCACCGTCAATAAAATTTTTGTATTATTAAAAGATTTAAAAATTTAGGTGAAGGACATTTTAAAAGTACTTATATATACATACAAAAATAATTATGCTTAGGTAGGTTATATTTCTTTGAAATGAATTTTTTTTTTTCACTTTTAATATTAAAAATCAAAAAAAGGAAAAAGGTAAAAAATTTTATGGACATAGTGACAAGTAACATGAACATTTTAATACACATATTTCAATGTGTTGACGATAAATGAAGATAAAGAGCTTATACAATCTTATTAGGTAGGCTTTTTGACTATTAATAATAATATACACTTTTAGATAATTATTTTCTAACAAAAGAAAAAATAAGCAACAAAATGGTAAAACTCAAGATTACTCATAGTCTTCAAAAACTTTTTACATTTAATTTGTATAACAAACAATTAATCATAATTTTAATTAGTATATATTTAAAATCATAAGTAAGAAAAACAAAATGCCTTTTAACCATTGGCTTGTTTACTTACTGACTTAAATTACTAAGGCGTAGGCATTTTTCGTTATGGCTTACAGAAAATTTCAAAAAGATTCCAAGAATTTTTCTTTTTCAATATGATACAGGCATTTTGATAAATATTTTTGATTAAGTACAATAATATAGATCGCACAAATATATTGCTTTTCAAGGTAATAAAGCAAGAAATTAAAAAATCATAAAACCTTTTCGGTACATTTTCTTTATATTTTTAGTTAAGAAAAATTTTCAGCATGTTTTAGTCGAATTAAACTGGTATTTGCTAAATACGAGTAGTTTTAACAAAAACTTAAAAATCGTATTTTTTAAGATTAAGCACTTGAAAATAAATGCAGTCAATATATTGCTATCGAATTATTTGTAACCAGATTAAAAATTAAGCTTTTGTATCAACACGGTAGATAATCGTTCGAAATTTTTGCTTAACCATGCTTCTAATTTTAATAGATTTGCTACTTTACAAAAGGATTTTACATATTCAATATAACATTTTAATATGAACTCTTGATTTTTAAAATAAAATCAGCTTTTAACTATAACATCAAATTATACATATTAACCAAGAATTTAATAGAACACATTTTTAATCGAATTAATTCGAAAGTTGTTATGAAAAATTCCTTTTAATCTTTTAATGTTTATGGATTTTAATGAAAATTTTATAAAATCTAAATTTATTTCTCTTATAATAATTTATTAAATAATTATTGGGTTTTTCCATTAGCCAAAATCGATAATAATTGAATTTCATAAAATTTTTCAAGGAAAATATGCTGTTTTTGTAAACTTGATTAAATAATAAATGTACTTTTTTATTATAATCGGATTAATTTTAATAAAAATGAAATTCCCGAATTAATTTCGAACAGAATAAAAGGTTTTAATATTTTTATATTTTTTTTTTTGTAATATGGATTTTTTGTTTTTCTATACCACAACGATATTTTCAAATGTATATGTACGTATGTATGTGTACACATTGCATAAACTTGAGGTTCACTAATTAATAGTAGAAACGAGTGTTTAATGATATCAGACTACATCAACATAGGATATTCACGATTCTGATTTCAAGAGCAAACGAAATAATTATTTTAAACCGGCAGAGTTCATTTATTTCACTTAATTGTACAATACAAGTTTCAATTTGTTTTCAAGTGCGACAAATTTAAATGCGTGATTCGCCATTTTTTTATATGTGTTAATAATACAGTTATAATAAAACTGAGCAGTAATAAAATTTATAAAATACTAAACTTTTAAGTAAAATATTGGTAATTTTAAAAATCTATATTATGCAAGGAAATCTCTTTCTCCGGGAATTAGAAAATTATTTGAACGCACTTAATTAGTTGCCAATAAAAATCGTTTTATATCTGTGTGATTGTAATGGCCTTTGCAACAATGAAAAATAATTATAGTCGCTTATATATAGTATCCACATTATAAAGTTGTATGTGCAGATTTTGCATAATTACATGGAAGAATGATTTTCCATTATAAAAATCCTATTTAATTTTTCAGTTATTCACTAAATAAAAAAAGTTCTAAATAACTAAAATAATCTTCAATTTTTTTTTAAACAAAGCCATAAGTACGCTGTTCATTTCAGAAAAAAATATTATAATTTACCATTCCATACGAAAACGTTACCACAATATCTCAAGCCCTAAAAATTCATGCTTTGCAGGGCTCATTCTCTTTTGGAATTTATCTTGAAATTTTTTTTCAATATTAATTTCTATTTAACTAACTATTTAGAAACATTTTTGATTTTTTTCTTATTTAATTTAGTAGATTCTCAAAATAGATTTTTATTAATATTTTAACAAGAATATGTGATCAAAAGTGGTATACAGTACCTTTTTCATCGTAAAAATTGTAAGATGCTCTCACTATATTCAAAACACGAGTGTACCTACACACTCGTATGTACTACGTATGTATGTATACTATTATCATTGTCCATTTTTTGTAAAATTCGAAACATAAGTGAGTTAAGATAAGGTAAAGAAACACTTAGAATAATGGAAAAAATAACGATATGAAAAAAATAATTGTCCTTATTAAGTTTAAAAATTATTTTTGTATCGCATTTGTATAATAAATTTATGAGATGTTTATATACAAAACCTATACTTTTATAATGTTCGATAAACTTTTATTGAAAATTAAGCAACTTTTACTAAAATTAAATTAAAATAATTTTTTTTAAGAATCATGTTTATTTTATTAGTTAACTCATTAGTCAGTTCTGATTCTGTGTTATTATAAAAGCAATTTTAAAATTTGTAATTTTTTGATTCTATAACCAAACAACTCGCACATATTACACTAGTAGATTTTCAAATAAAAAATTAAACATGTACCTTAAAATTATATGAATTGCATAGGTTTATATATTTTCACATTTTTTATGATAGAATTGGTTTTTAAATGGCTGCGTATAAAATTTAATATTGTTTTTATACAAAACCGTTTTGTATAACTTTTAATGTATTGTCCAAAAAATCACTTTTATTTTAATGCACATTAATGTTTCAATTTTCATGTACGTAGTTAATTTATTTACATATATATATAGAATTGTATGATTATTCCTTTTTATTTCTGTCCGAGGATTCGTCCATCTTCGCGCCCTAGAATATAATATAAAACTGGAATTTTATACACAAATAGATATTTGCGATGAAATTTTTCAAAGATGAAGAAATTGTTATCAACTTTTAGTGTAAGAGTTGAACTCCTAAAATTTCTGAAATTGCCACTTTTTGACATTACATAATTATTAGTAATTTCACCTCTTATATATTTGTTTAAAGAATTTATGAGTTAGTTTAATTGTATGGATAAATATAATACCAATGTTTATCCTTAAAAGAAATGATCCATTTTTTTCACATTCCTCGGGCATATGTGCCCACTATTGTTTAAGTAAAATATTATTATTATTTTTAATATTTGTTCTGTTAAAAAAACAATATGCAGAAACAATCAAACACAAAAAATAATCTGCAGAAAATAATATGTATGTATTTAAAATTAATTTGTTTTTTTTTTCTTTTCCTTTGCAGGACCAATTCATATTCAAACAGATATATAAAACCGACAAGTATTGTAAGCGGAAACATTTTTAAATCAAAAGTTGAAAAAGGATCAAGCGATTATTCCGATTAAAATGCTATCATAGATAATCCCAATAATCAGGATTAAATTTAATTACAAAAAATAAACAAAAAACAAATGCTAATGAATCAAAGCTATATGTACGTAATTGAGCACAAAACAATATTTTTAATTAATTTAATTTAAAAAAAATAAAAATAAAAATGGCCAACCAAATTCAAAGAGAAAAAAATCGGTATTAATTGAGATAAGTAAAGTAATCAAAGAGAAAAGGAAAGTGACGGAAAAGGGGTAAAAAAAAGAGAGTGAATTCGAAATTGAAGTTTAAGAATTAATAATTTTTTTATTTATTTTAATTTATGTATATTAAAAAATTGTTATAAATAAAAAAAATAATAATTTTTATGTTATCAATTTAATTTCAATTGTTATATCAAGAGTTTTCAAAAAATTAAATTTTTTTTTTAAAATAATAATTCTAAAATTTAAAAAAATAAACAAAATATATTAAAAAAAAAAAAATTTGAAATAAAAATTTTTTCGTGGTGAGAGAATTTAATAAAATAAAACCGTCAACCTGGAACTAATGGAATTAGAGAATATTGTGGCCAATACGGTCTACTTAAAAGCTAGAGAAGGTGAGTTGTAAAATTTTTAATAATTTAATTATAATTTGTTATATTGTATAATTATCACATAAAATCTTTTTGATATTATTATATAAAATGAAAATGATATTTTTAATAGAAAAATTCTCAAATATGTTTTTATTTTGTTGAGTTGAAGTGATAATTTTTGCTTAAGGACTTTAGTTGTAACAATCAGTAAAATAAGGTAAAATTGAAAAATACCAAAGAGGCGAGACCAAAAGAAGAGATAAAGAAAAAGTATTTATTGAATAGTGTAGTTGATTTAATCTTAAAGCCTTACAGAATATTCTGCGGAATATTCAAATCCGCAGGATGTTGAACAAGGTTTTTCAGGATGTAGGGCAAACAAATAAAATTCTATGCTTCCTTAAATATGCTTAGGTATACCTAAAAACAATTTTTTTTAGCCTTTTGTGTTTTAAACTAGAATCAATATTCCATTTCTTAAATAGATTTTACGTTCGAAAATTAATTTTTTTTATAATAAATTAGATTTTTTCTTTGTCCTTTAACAACTTATTTTAAGTATAATAATAATCAAAACACACAAGTTAATTAATATTGATTTGAACAAATTCTACTAGATTATTAACTGAATTACAAAATAAATTAACAAGAAAAAAACTTAATTAGCTTTGTCGTGGGATTTCTTTGTTATAAAATTTAATATTTATAATATAAAATTATTTTTACTTATTAAAAATTACATTGAAAGCCAAAATTCATTTAATTTAATAAAATATTAATTATTTGTTTAATTTTATGCAATATTAAAATTTTCACAGAAAAAGTTGAAGCTCATCAACTTAAGAACAAAATACAAAAAAAAAAATCATTGATAAATATAATAAGTAAATATAAAATGTAATTTAATTGAGAAAAACATATACAAGCATATACAAAAACTTACATACTTTATGAATTTTTTACTTAAAAGTATAAAAATAAGTTTTCAAAATTAATTTTATTAAATCTTGTTGTATAAAATTCAATTTAATAAAAAAGAATATATTGTAAAGAAAATAAAATATCAAAAACTAATTTAAGTAAATCTCTTTTCATAAAATATTACGATATATAAACTTTATTTTAGCATAAACTGACCAAATTATTGAAATTAATTCTATTATGCAGAACAAAAAATATGAAAATAGTCGTATATTTTTCTTTTCTTTAGTTCTCTTGTTAATATTTACTTTGTTTCATCATACTTTTAGCAATAATTGATAATATTATTAATTACGATGTGTTTGCACATAACGAATCAAGTTTTTCAATTTTCACACTATTATATTTTTAAAACTATAAAAATAATTTAATTAAAGAAAACTATTATCAAGTGCATGCATATGTACATACATATATGTATATATTTAGATTTTGGAAGATAATAGTTTGTATTTGTTTTGCATAAGAATACAAGGTGGATATACAATATTTAATTACGATTATTGAATCAGATATGCACAAATGAGTATGACAGTAAAAGCACAATGGTAGTAGTATATCATTTCGTAATCAAGTGCGAATAATTCCAACAGATGAAAACTTACTATGCACATTTTAAGAAAAAATTTAAAAAGGAAGTTCTTATACGACAAAAAAGTTCGAAAAAGTTATTTTATGTCTAAAACTTGTTGAATGTACTCGTAACAAATCGTTTCAAACATAATTAATTATCTTCAAAAATAATTAATTGGAACTTAATCTTGTAAAGTCACAAGACTCGAATAAGTTTGATTTTAAAAATAATTCTCCTTAGTCTCAAACGTTGACTACTGAGCGCGTTTTGAAAATACTTAAAGTTTTGTATATACATCACAATATGCTTTTCGAATGGGGAAGCTAGTATAATTTAATAAATATGTTCGATATCCAAAGAGCTTGGCGCTTAATCTAAACTTTAAAAATAATTTAACCTATGATTAACAAAGACTTTTTACCGATCGCATTGCATACAATAAGGGTGGTTATGTGATGGCACCATATTTTGGATGCACAGTTTTCGGTGAAAACGCACTTCTCCATAGTCTGTCGGTTTGTGTGTGTATGCGTGTATCTTATGTTCAGTTGATCTGATTTTGGTGAGTTTTATATTTGAACTTATTTCGGCTATGTTAGGAATCGATCAACTTTTGGGATATAGCAGACCTCCGGAACTGGAAAAGAGAAATAATCAACCCATTTCCTTGAATTTTAATATTTAAATTCGGGGTGCTAAAACAATGAATCAGTCAATTTTTTGGAAAGATCAGGACCCGGAAATTGAATTAGGGGCCGATTTTTCATTTGTTACCATATCTACGGAACTATTTGATGGAATTTCTTGAAATTTGACATTTAAGTTCTGGTTGTTATCAACTGTCGAATTTTTAAGGGAATTTAGATGCCACAAAATAAAGCTTTACTAAAAGCCAAATTTACAAAGTTTACTAGTGCCCTTAAAATTGTAAAGAAGTATTTAAAACGCATTTTAAAAATTTTCTATAATACTTTTACTAAATTAGGCGATATACTTTGCGGCCAGTTATGTACTGATCACATCAGATTTTTTTTATTCATTTCATTATTCAAAGAAGAGCAAACATCAATGCTGATGATTTAAAACCTCAATTAATCCATGTAGCTGATTGAAAAACTATTAAAAAGATTTTCTTTCATTTGGCATGAGCAAAAGTAAAAAGTAAAAAACGTAAAGCTACTTTATACTATAATATATAAATTTACAAGTATGTTAGTATTAAGGTACATATATATGCCATAAAATTACAGGACGGGTATGGTATGAAAAAAACAAATTTCAGTTAATTTATAAGTATTAAAAAAACAGCATAAATACATACTTAAATATATAAAATTGATAGGGGTGAACTATACAGAAAAAAAAAAGAAAAAAAAATGTAATAATAAAGTGGATGTTTTTTTAAGAGATGTAGGGCATTGATGCAAAATAGCAACTATTTATAAAAAAACAGGTTAATTTGATGTTTTCTCTTTTCTGTTCTTTTTTGTGCTTATTCAATTTTTACAAGTATGAACCATTGATAAGTGCAGAAAAAAAAAGGGAGAAACCTTTACAGAAAGAATACAAAGGTAGAAAACAAATTGACAGCAATAATATCGGTTAGGTTATTTTTTAATGCGACAATGAAGATAAATTAATTTTAGATCTTACACAGGTTTCATTTAACTCAGTTAACTATAATTAACTTTATTTTATTTATACTTTTTCCCTTATTTTTTTTCTTATGCAATTAATATCGGTCATGATGATAATTGATTTTGTAGGTATTTTGTGTACTTAAGGATGTATACCCTCAAAACATATTTAACACTATTGATGTATAACTTTCTCAAATATACATATAAAATGGAATCTATTTATAAGAGTGATTGAGAGGAGTACTTACACCAATTTGTCCTGTTCAATGGCATCAAAGTTTTATATGAAGAATAAATATAAATTATTTAAATTTTTATAAGTTGGTTCTTCTTTCTATGTGCATTGTGAAATTGAGTCAAATATCAAAAAGTAATATCCAACCTTTTAAAACGCTTAGAGCGTTCCCTCGAGACTCTGGAAATTTGTTTAGTGTTTCTATTAATTCTGTAAATGCCTTACTTATTAAGCCTCATATCTACACTGAATCTATAAAATTAACTTCTATGTAATAGGATTTCCGATCAAAATAAAGATCCGCGTGTAAAGGTTTCCCAATTATAACTAAGTAATTTAAGGAATTCAAATTTAAGGAAATATGTGTTAATATATTGGTAATTGTATTGAGTCTAATTATTCTGGCTTACATAATAATTAAACATCTTAAATTAAAAATTTAACAAGAAACAAAAATACTCCTAAATAATAATCAATAATTTAATACTTTTATATAAATTTGATTAGATAGAATCTGCAGTAATAAGAATACGGCCCGTTTTCCATTGTTTATTTTGTTCAAACATTAGGTTTTAATTTCATGTATATTACTGCAGTCATAAGTTAAGTTAATATATCAGTTATCTCATTTGAAAAAAAATTTAGTACAAACTTGGCTTATTTTAAAAAGTTGCTGAGATGCTAAATTGTAATGTTATTATATAAAATTTAATTACATACATTTTTACTGAAAAACGAATTCTAAAATTTCAATTGGTCATAGATTAATTTTTAATTCATGTCACACAATTTGAGCGCTAACTATGTGTTAATTTTTGAAGTTTATCTATTACACTGAGCTCTATATAATATAAAAAAATCAATCGGCTGTAAAATCTGTGAATTGCCACAGCTGCTATTTATTTCTATAAAAAAATCAGCTTTCAATAAAACCACATTAAAATCATTTTTAAGTTACTGACATTAAGCAATAATTTCATTTATAAACTTTATAAAAGTGAT